ACACTTGCCGTTGGGGTGTACAGTTTATTTGACATTACGCAAACATACGCAAAATGACCAAGTTGCCTTCTAGTTTTTGTTTTTGTACAAAAGGCGCCGGCATTTGCCAAGCCAGTGCGTATGAACTAGGAGAATTGGTAGTCTTTCCTCTGGTGTTGTTTTGGAAAAAGATGGAGGGCATCGGCACCCGTCTGCGTAATTCCACTGAACAGCAGTGTTTGAGCAGAATAATGGCGGTATACATCAATAATCCCGAAATACTAAACGAAATTATGAAATGTGGTTTCAGTCAAAAAGTGATCCCAAAGTGGGGGTGTAATGCTGATAAGCATGCAACCTTATTCCTGAGCACTGTCTGCAGGCGAGGATTGCGTTTTCGGCGGACCAGTAATACAGTAGGTGTGCTAACTTACCAAAATTCTGAAATGCGTTTTCGTTTCGAAAGGATTACCTAGGTAGGGTTGTAATCCTAATCATCTTCAGCATAATTCTATACTAATTTAGTTACCCCGAAATTCTGGCTTTAAAACGAACTTCTTTTCGGTCGCATACTGGAAACCACACTCTGTAAAAAATGGCTACTTAATTAGCATGGATTGTTCTGGTTTGTTTTCGACGCCATTATAACCTCAAATACATCCTACAGAAAAAATACATAAAAATATTAAAGCTTTCATAAAAAAGGTAAGAAATTAGGCTTTCCTCCTATTTTATACTTAAAGAAGGGCAAAATAGGCTTTCAAAAATATTTCCACCTCCGAATAATTTTGAATCCGACCTGCCGTTGCACATACAGTCAAGGTTTTCAATCTAGATGACGTATATTTTCGCGTACTGAAAAGCATACATTTCTCTACGGTATTAAATGAAGGCTATATAGGGTTCATCAAATTTGGCGCTAAATTTCATTCATATTTTAAACTTTACAAACCACATTAGTAGATGCAGAGACACAATGTTTTATGAACGGTCACCTTACAGTATTAAAAAATCCATAATCATAAACCTTTTTAAAACCGAATTATAACCTTTCTTCAATTAGAAAACTTGAAGAAGACGTAAATTTCATCTAAATAAGTAAAGGAATGACTAGTTGTTTGCATTTTTATAAGTCATATTTGAATTTACAATGGCGTCGAAAATCAATGAGAAAATAGCATGCTACATAAGTAGTCATTTTTTACAGAGTATGGGTTTCTGAATGCGACCGAAAAAAAGTTCGCTTGAAAACCAAACTTTCGAGACAACGGAATTGTTATGGATTTGTCTGAAGATGATTAATATTACAACCCTACTTAAGTAATGCTTTCGAAACGGAAACGCATTTCAGAATTTCGGTTAATATTTAGTGAGTTAGTACACCCACTGTAAGCCTGCATATAAATGTGCAGCGATTCATCTTCTCATAAAGGCTTCCAGCGTTTCATTATCTAGAGTCTAACTAGCGCCAGTGGCCCGATAGTCTCCCTACTCTTTTAACGCATCTCAGCATCTACTAAAGCCTTTATTTGCTTATCCTGGGGGTTTATCTGTCTCCGCTCATCTACTATATTCGAAAAGGTCTAACAAATATTCGATAGACGTTATAAAAAGTTTAGACTATAGATAACGGTCCAGCTGCCATCTGCAAGGCCTGGCAAAGAGCTCGAATTCACTTACGCTTGAGAAACGGGGGCAAGTAACTACCGATTTTTAAAATTTATTCATTTCGTCGTCCTCAAGACTGCAATAACTTTTGCTGTACCGAGAACATGGCTGGCTGTCGAGCCACATCTCCACTACGAACTGATCCTGGAAAAGGAGTTTCTACGAATACAGTCGAAGCCCTATTACTAAAATGCACATTAAATGCGCAGCTCCTTTTTGACAACCAACCCTATAGACAAGTACACGAAATAGCTATGGGTTCACCTCCTGCACTCCTCCTAGCCGATGTCTTCATGGGCAAGCTTGAGAAGTTTCAAACGAGGGGTCAAATCAATAGGCTTAAACATTACAGTCGCTACGCCCATGACACTTTTGCAATCACCACCACCACCACCACCACCACCACCACCACCACCACCGCAGAAACCGACACAGCGGCTCTCTCTAATGCGGTAAGCCAGGCACATCCGTCAATAAAATTCACATTGGAGATGGAAACGGCTGATTCGCTCCCTTTCCTAGATTTCCTTCTTAACAGGGGACCTGAGAGTAGCGTGCGAATGAGCGCCTATCGAAAGAAAACCTGGTCTGGGCAATACGCGACCTTCGGAAGTTTCGTGCCCCTCAACCATAACCAAAATCTAATCTGGTGTTTGCTGCAAAGGGCTGAAAAAGTGTGTTCTACAGACAGCATCGCAAAAAAGGGTACCGTGGCAGGTTTATCACAAGGAGTGTCGCTGCGCGACCGGAAGAACCAATACGGTAACTGCCGAAAAGAAAACGCTGTTCCTCAAAGTTTCTTTTCATGGGTACGCTGCGAATGAACTTCCGAGAAGTCCCCTTGGTCAAGGTGTCTCATTAACTTCCTCAAAAGCAGGGGTTCGAATACTATTCTCTGTTAAACCCTTTTTTTACGCGGAGAGGGTAAGCATCCGTTGACAACTCAGAGTACAGTAATGTGCAGCTATTCGTTTACTTGCTCCTGTGGATCAGGTTCTTTTGGTCGCACTAGTCGGCGCCTATCCAAGAGAATAGCTGGGAAAAGGCCAAACTAGGAGCAAAAACAGTGCTGTTATCGCGCATGCTGTTGATTACCAGCATCATGTGGACTCCGGCAAAGCCTTTTGCGTGATTGATAAGGCCGCATAAAGCTACCCTAAGCTACTGGGCCAGTGCCTGTTAGCAATAGCGGAAGCGACCGCCATCAGGTTACGAAAACTAATCTTGTGCGCTCAAAAGAATCACATTCAAGCTCCGCACCTACAAAGGTCGAAGTTCGACTTACCCTGCAACTCTACGCGCCCTTCAGCTCTCATCCCACCCCTGGCGCTGAGTGCAATAACACCCTCCACATTCACAGACCCCGCGTGTATTTTAAAACGAAATTAAGTACTTTAATCCAATCACAGACATTTTTTTACTTCTACCACGTTCCAGCATACATGTGCAGACCTGACGAAAAATTATTGAAAGCAAACGAATGCTATCCAACTTGCATTCTAAATTTAAAATTGTGTGACTAATCACCTTTTGGTAGTGATAAAAGTACGGTGGGGAGATGCGATCGGAAGAACATGAATTTTATTCGTCTGAAATCTTGGCTGCTCACTTTGACACATCATTTGCTTAATTTCGCCTCTCTCTGATGATGGATTAGAGCGATAATCAGAAACGACAGAAGGAAAAAATGATCGATTTAATTGCCGTATCACCTTCTTGATTGCTTCCTTGAGCTCGTCTTTTTGCCTCTGCCGGCACTGATGAGGGTATCTTCAACATGTAAATGACAGAGTTTTGATTTTTTGAGTCTAAAAATTGGAAATTTGGGGGCGAGGGCCTTAGTGGCGAAACTACAGGGCTACAGTGCGACGGAGGAGAACAGTCGCTTATAGTTCATCGCCCCGATCTCCCTTCCATGACCACATTGACTTGGCAGGGAAACCGAGTTCACCGCGCATCGCACAATAACTGGATATTCTTCTTTCATGCATGCTTTAGGTTGCACACTCGGGTATCCGAGGTAGTCAGTCAGAGGGGATTCGCTAGGTGGGGCTACCATTACGTTTAAGCGTGCAAACGTATTCTAGGGCAATTTCTACGAGCAAGAATGGCGACTTGAGAGTGAGCATGCTTTGGGGTACCGGCAACTGCGGTCTTAAATATTTCCACTTAATTTTTACGTTGGCCCAAGTTTACCATACTTCGTGAAGTGCACGAACAGAGATACAGTAGGTGGGTTAGCTCATGAAATGTCAACCGGAATTCCGAAATTCCTTTTCGTTTCGAAGGGATTAATTAAGTAGGGTTATAAAACTAATCACCAAGATGCACAATTTATTAATATTTTCCCAGGATGCCGGCTTTCGAAGGAACTTCTTTTCGGCTGCACGCAGAAACTACACTATGTAAAAAAGGACAACTTAAATAGCATAAATTTATCTCATTGATTTTCGAGGCCCCTAAAAGACCAAGTATATTTCATCGAACACATGCATAAAAATATTCATTCCTTTCTTATTCGGTAGAAAATTACGTTATCTTCCATTCTTATACTCGATGGAAGGGTATAATTTGGTTCTCAGAAACGTTTCCGATTTTCGAATAATTTTGAGCTCGCTCTACCGTTACGCATAGATACAGGTTTAACAAACTACAAGCCGTATACTTTCCGTGTACGGAAAACCACAAATTTCTCTACGGTAATAAAGGGAGACCATAAAGGGTTCATAAAATTTAGCACTGGATTTAATCCATATCGTTAACTTTACAAGTTACATTGGTAAACACAGAGACATGACGACTTATGAACTGCCATTTCACGGTATTTAAATGTCCCAAAATAATTTTCTAAAACCGAATTGTCTCCCTCCTTAGAGTACAAAAGTAGAGGAAGATGTACTTTTCTACCAAAGAATAAAAAGAATGGATATTTTTGTGCATGTTTTCTGTAAAATTTGATTCGTCTTTTAGGGGCATCGAGAATCAATGGGAAAAATTCATGCCAATTAAGTAATCATTTTTTACAGAGTGTAGTTTTTGCATGCAGCCAGAAGGAGGTTCATTCGAAAGCCGGCATTCCAAGGTAACTGAAATAATATAGAATTATGCTGCATGATGATTAGTTTAACAGCTCCACTTAATTAATATCTTCGAAACGAAAACGCATTTCGGAAACTCGGGTGGCATTTCACGTGTTACCCCCCCCCCCTAACATAGGCTTTTTATATTACGTTTGTAAGAAAAGTCATTTCTGAGAAAGTTTTGCAAAGGAAAAGGATATATTTCAGTTTAAAATTGCCCACCAGTGTCTGTGGAGTCATTAAGAAACTGATTCTTCCGAAAGGACTTCAGAAAAGTTTGTCAACAGGTAACTTGAGTCGTAGGCAGATGCACCAAGTGGCATTATATTCGATGTCAGAGATGACTCGTTATGAAAAATTACTAGGAGGTTTTTGTAAATGGTATTGCAATTAACTGCCGAGGGTTAGAAAATACCATAGGGAACCGATCGGTAAAAATGCGTTAGATCAATTCCATCTTACCCGCGCAATCTCCAATTTTCACAGTAAAAGCGCAATATCAGTAACAGAATAATTGCCCATTGAAATAGAACGAGCATTCATTAGCATCTTCCATTTATTGCCCAAAGACATATCACCACACGTACAGTAGATGTGCTAACTCATTAAATGTTAGCCGAAATTCTGTACACGGAAAATACGCAGCTTGTAGTTTGGAAACCCTGAATGAAAATGTTCCGACAGGTCGGTATCAATATTATTCGGGAATAATTAAGCCCCTTTAAAACCGAATTATGCCCTTCCTTCAAATGTCAAATTTTAAGACGAGGTAATTTCCCTCCAGATGAGTGAAATATTGGATAATTTTATGCTCGTTTTCTATGAAATATATTTGGATATATTTGGCCTCGAAAATCAACAAAAAATTTACACTAATTAACTCGCCATTTTTAGAGGGCGTAGGTTTTTCAGGCGGCCGGAAAGAAATTAGTTCAAAAACCGGCATCCCGAGTATCTGCCTATCGTTTAACAGCTATTATGAAGACTCGAATCATGTAGATGCCGGACGGGCTCAAAGCAGGCGAGACATCGAGCGTAGTTTATTAAATTTCATGCCACAATTATCCCTGTCATTACACAGACCAGACAGAACGCCAACTCGGTACGCACATGCGCGGGCACCAGCGCGCCGTTCTGAGAGGTTACTCGAGGTTTCAAGTCGTTGTTTACACACTGGAGGAAGGTAAAGGGTTCGACTGTGTGAACAGGTGGAAACTGGAGCGAGCGGGCAAGAAGACTAGGCGGAAACCGCTGGAAGGCTGAACGTCTGACACGAACTTCATAAACACATATAGAAACTTCCTCTCTGTTATCACGCGCTAAGCCCAAGCGGCCGGGTGTCGAGGCCCTTCTTCCGATCAAGGGCTCACACTGCCATCACGCCAGTGGACCATCGGTTTCATTAAGTCAGCTTAGTCGCTGCACTGCCCCGTCTCCGCCCTTCCCATTCCATTTAACATTTGACTTTAAAAATACGCACTTATTGTTTTAGTTCTACAATCTTTGGTGCTTGTCTTTTGTGCAAATTCCAAAGTTCAGACCGCTAAGCCTATTTTGACTGTGTTCGCGCCCTCATCTTCTTTACGAAAAGAGCATGCGACTCGTATAGTCGTCTTCTTTCGCTCGTAAATGTGCCCTGAGGGTCCCGTCGGACCGGCCCCAATGGCTTTAGCATGTCATTCCTGTTAAAATACATTTCGGTTTTCTCCATTTTTTATAAGTACAGAAAGTTTGTGTTGAATATAAGCATAACCCCAGTTAAAGGCGAAAGTAGGCTTACCAAAAGTGGCTTCCACAGTGGTGGCCTCGCGGCGCGGTGACAACGTGAGCCCTTGATCGGAAAGTGGGTCGTGACACCCGGTCGCGTGGGCGTAGCGAGTGGTAACAGAGAGAAAGGTTACTATATGTGTTTAAGGAGTTCGTGTCAGATGCTCAGCCCTCCAGCGGTTTACGTCTTTTCTTCTTTCCAGCTCGCGCCAGTATCCATCTGCTCACACAGCCGAACTCATGACATTCCTCCATCGCGTGAATAACGACTTGAAACCTCTGGTAGCTTCTTCAAACGGCGTGCTTGTGCTTGCCTTTGTGCGTACCGAATTGTCGTTCTGTCTAGTCTGCATAATGGCAAGGCTAGTTATGACATGGATTTTAATAAACTACGCTTAAGTGCTCGCCTGCTTAGAGTTCGTCCGTCATCTACATGATTATAGTACTCGTAATGGCTGCCGGCCGATAGGCCATATGCACGCCTAACTCTGAGGAAATACGTTATGTTGTGTCTGACTCACTCATTATATGCGGTAGAGAAGGCGAGATTGTTGGTGAGTCTTCCTCTCGTTTATTGTTCCTGGGCGTGTACGGAGTCACCTTTTGACGAAGATTTTGCGAAGCTATTCCTTGCTACATGTTCTTGAAGACTCTGTTATTCCTCAATTTCTCCCTGTTGTTCACCGCATTGAGTTTCTACCCATCCGAGGAGCATTGGTTGGTTGCTATGATATCGAGCTGAAGAACTGGGTTGTGTTAGTCGCCTTTCTATGCTGTCTAGTATTCAGTTCACATCGCGTACCTGCGTGATACGAACGTCAATGATGGGGATCTGATGGGCCTTTCCTTTTTCTTTTTTGAATTGAATATCGGGGAAGATGTCGTTGGGCAAGTCTAGTGTAATTGCTGTAGCTAAGCCGGATGTGCAGCATTTTCGACCTTGGCACAAGCAGGTTGGTCAGATTGAATTTATATGCGTGGGGAAATGATGAAATCTTCCGGAGGTCGTCCAAGCACCGTTTGTAATTGGGAAGTGAACCGACTAGGCACACCGCCAAACACTTTCTCACCAACACATACGCTACACCTCGGCTTTTCCAACATCGCACACGCCGCGGGCACAAACTAAGCACCTCCAACGTGGTGTGTTGTTCTCAGCACGTTCTACATGCGGCTCTTTTTGTAGATGTGAGATGTGATCACTCCAGCGCTTTGTGCGAAAACCGGATGTGTTTTTGGAGGGCCAGGTCATCTGTACAGCAAAAACAGACGGACTACATTTTAGCCTTGTCATCCACCTCTTCCTCTCTTAGCATCTGTTGAATGACCTGCTCAGACAGTCAACTGATGAAAGGGAGAGGGAAGAGAGGGGGAAATGTCGACTCCCTGCGCATTTTGTTCAGTATAACCAATATGACGGCCTTGAGACTATCGCAGTGCACTGAAGCCGTAACCTGGAATGTTTCGAGCTGAGTATCCAAATCGGGCCCCTCAGTCAGTCCAGTGTGTTTGTGTGGAGCGCCTAACTGGTGGACTGAGAGTCAGATAGCAATAATTCCTTCCTAATGTGGCCTCCATTGCCCTCGCTTTCAGCTGAAATCCAAGACGTTCCTTTCTCCTTGTTTATAATCGTGGCCAGGGGGTGTGGTGGGACGCCTAGGTGCAGGTGCCAGTGCTGTGCCAGTAACCCACGCCGTTTACCGCCTCCGATCTTCTTGGCCCTGTCATGGCATCCGGTCCAGGCGAGTGCGATAGACGCTGCGCAAGTCTACTGTCACCATAAAGCAAATTACGCTCTAGTTCCCACCTCTGAGCCAACCCTGCTGCAGGTCAAATGGTGGACCTCGTCGGAATCCACAGTCGAACTCTCGGTACGAAATTTAATGAATGTTCGGCTAGGATCTATGAAAGCTTATGTGTTTGTTGTTGATCAGTTGGTCATGGCTTTTTACATTAAAGGTGCATTAAGGGATAAAAATATCTCTATGTAGTCCTTTGCATATGATGCCACGTAGCCAAGACTGAGCACAAAAGTCAGAAAACATTAATTGCAAGGAGGCGATGGCTTGATTTACATGTGTATGCAATAGTTTATGGGCAGGAGACCGGTCGACAGTTGGAAAAGTTTATTAATTTTTTGAGTCCATAAACCCTTACTGAAGCCCATCATCAGAGATAACAGCTGGAACACAACATGCGACAGGAACAGGGGGCATTCCCAATCAAAAAACTGTGGTGCTAGTCTAGGAGTGACTGCGTATGGTTCTGTATGCGGGCGCCAGATCGACGAATCGAGAGAATGAGTTCTCATCCGAGACCCAGGATTCAATCCATTCTCGACATTTCTTGTTTCCGTCGTGAGCAGTTATCTCGGTGGCCGCGGAGTTAAGCATGCGAAACGTTACGACTGCGTGGGCAGCAGCTTGTGGTAATTCGTCGTCCCATCGCAGAGTCAGGTCATGTCCGCGAATGTGCGGACCGAGCATGCGTTCATTTCAACCTGTCTAATTACAAGGACTATCAAGGAGTATTTTGGTGAATATACATTGAATATTCGGTAACAGTAGGGTAAGTGACCCCAATTAACTGTCGGTATACTTCGAATCGTGCCATACGGGAAAGATGGTGATGGGGGGTTTACGGGTGGGGCAGCACGCCAGACAGTAAGTTGACGGAATGCAGGGAAACACAGAGGAAAGTCGGTGGCAAGAACGATACTTTTGGAAAAAATGATGTATTTGTTCAGATACGGTATCCAGCCGAATATTCCATGACGTCCCATCTTCACACAGGGCCTGACAATCGAAAAATAACGCCTACCTTCTGGCAGACATTCCTATTATCCCTCAATTTATGCCAGTTCATCTCCGTTTTTTGATTCCGCCTTCTTGGGTACAACTGCTAGTCATCAGTAAGTATATTAGACAGCACACTATTCACAGTCTACCGACAGCTAACTGGGGTTCTTCAGACTACCGTTGTCAAATATTCGTTTAACCACTCGCTTGCTTTACACCCAAAGTACTACTTACTCAGTAAGCGTCTTTGTACAGACTTTAGCGCCCGTATAAGGTCAGTTGTACTTTACAGTACGGTTTATATAGTTTGTTTTGTGCATACATTATGCAGGAATTTTTAAAATATTTAAATGTCACCGTGGCGGAAGAGGGACAGAACAAAACATCATGCATTTTTTAGACGCGATAGGCGATAACGCACGTGCTAATTATCGAGAGAGGGGATAACTAACCACCGGCTCTCCGCCAGGGCAAGGGGCGTCCAACATCACGATCCAACACTGCACCCTCTTGTGTTTGTTCTGCATTCAAAGATACCAACGTCCACAAGCTGATCAGTCAAGACATTCACAGCGCGATTAACCAGGCCTACACCGCCAGGTTAGTATTCTTAAGCTTTTGGCTGCTGGTATGGAATCCCCTTATCCTAAAGTATACTACTAGCTGCCTGTCAACAGCTTATGTATTTTGCGCGGTTACCCGCTGTGGCTGATGGACTTTGGCCCAAATATTCATGTATAAAGTTCTCGGTCTAAGCCTATAGACCTTGAAAAAACTGATATACTCCAACTTCGTAGATAATTTTTGAGGAAATTAAAAAATTGACAGTTTCTAAATTGAGGTATCTGCCAGAAAGCAGATAGGGAGTGCTGGGGCACCCACTGACGAGCCGAATCCCTCGCAGTTGTGTCATGCATCGGCAGATTATGGGCGAAACTCGCGTGTATGGGCTTTTGGGTAGTACATATGCAGTTGATATGGAATCCCTTTACCCTAAACTACACGCCAACCCTCTGTAAAAGAGCAAGAGCAAATACCAAAAGGGCAGTTCTAATGGCAGACTAAAGAATGTTGGTAACTGCGAAGGCCAGAATTTGCGTTTCGTCAAACGGATTCGAGCTGCCTATCTCCACATGCCGCGGTGGGCCTTCCGATTTGGAACTGTGGCCTACGACAAATCTCAGCAACGCAAATAGTCGCGGTACCCTTACTTCTGCATCTAAGCAAAATTAGCTGCTCCACACACCTAAAAGGACTTGCTCTGCGGTTCCAGCAGAAACACAGCTCATAATTGCCTCTCGAATGAGAGTTAGGGGATGCAGCTTTATGGCTCAGCTGGGAAGCTCCTCATACATTACTCAACGGCAGAACACCTGCTGCGAAATGGGGACTGGCAGTTGTACTCAAAAGCCGAGAAACAAAAAACCGGAAATCAAGTGGGCATGAATTGAGGAATAACAGAAATGTTCGCCAGGAGAAAAGCCCAGTTGGAACGCCATGGAATATCCAGCTGGATACAATATCTCCCTGTTTTCATCGTTCTGCTCGAAGGTATCGTCTTTGCAATCGACCGTTTTTTGTGAATTCCGTAAGCTTACTGTCTGGCGTACTGCCCAAGCCGTACAACCCCATTACCACCATTCCCGTATGAAAAGATATACAGTCTACCGACAGTAAAATGGGATCTTTCGCCCTATCGTTGCCCACGCGTTTTCCTATATTATCTCCTTATCACCAACTGACCTGATGTCTCTGAAACGTTTTATACATTCCTTTACTTATATGCCATTGCTGAGACCTCAGCTAGCCTCCAAAGAGCATTGAGCCGCCTTTTTAGTTAAGAGGTCTGACCCTTTCCGATACATCGTCAACTGCCTGGATTTAACCTTTTTATTTGAATACAGAATAACGGCACAAATGCCAGTCAAATTTACTGAAAGGCTGTAAATATGTGAATAGGTCCGTGATCATTAGCTTAATTTTTGGAAATATTAATTCACTTGCTTCCCTTGCGGTACATATAACTATTCATCTGACCCAGTTGTAAAAGTATTGGTGTTCTTAGCGGGGTTCCAATCCACGGCAGAAAGTGCAAGGCCTCAATACCGTCCTGACCACTTGCTAAGGTATTCAGATCACTGAATCAGAATTGGTATATTTCATATGCTTCTGTAGGTTGGGCGTGTAACTTCACGCAACTGCAACTAAACACAGGACCCATGTTCGGGATCTTGTAGCACACGTAGTCACAACACAAGACTTGCGCTGGCTGTCGTGTGTTCGAACCCCACCAAGTTTACCGACTATTTTGTTAGTTGGTCGGATAAATTGCGCAAATCTGCCAAAAGCACCTGTTAATGTGCACGTACGATGTCGTGCGAAGTATATTTAACTTGTGCTAGTGGCCATATATCTTACAGTTTGGCATCCCCAAAATGACTTTTTATACCAGCTTTATTTCAGATTTTTCTAGGATTTCCTCGAACTAAGCACTAGAGTCATATTAATATACATCAGTGCTGGTTATTATCCAGAGAAGCGGTATAGAGAAGGGGTCCAATTAACTGTCAGTAGACTGTGGATCGTGCCATACGTAATTTATGGTAAAGTTTTATGAGTGGAGCAGCACGCTAGACAGTAGGCTGACAGAATGAAACAAAACACAAGAATTGCCTGAATTTACGCCGAAAGTCTTACTCTACGCTATTGTGTGACAATGGAAGTGAGAGTAGTAATTAAACAATGAAAAAGTACATTTCACAAAATAACGGATTTTGAGTTAAGGTGTGAGGTAGTGGGAAATAATCGTTGTTGGTATTGTAGCTTCTGCAACAGCCTGCAAATGTATGCCGAGATGAAGCCCCATGTGACACGATCTACAGTCTGCTGACACTTCAGAGGTGTCCTTCTATACACCGTTGCCATGTCCGGTTTTGCGCCTTGTGATGAATTACTTTATGCCTTCAAATATCGTTTAAAAAAACCGACTTAAAGGTTTCTCATAAAAAAGGGTATTATCGAAAAATGATGGAAGAATTTGATCGTTTCTGGCAAATCCAAATACGTGCGTAATCTTATGAAGAGCCGTATACTGTGCACTTCATTAATATGACCGTCTAAAACCAATACAATGTTTCGTCCGCTATAATTTCTGGCACAGTTCTGTCTTAGCAAACGATAAAATCATTTTACTACGTTTGTCACAATTATATGAAATCACCTCGATTACTGAAATATGAGAATGCTGAGCGTTTATATGGAGGTTCAAACGGTTCTGCCAGTGAAAAGTGCTGATCAGTGCCAAAAATCGGATAAAATTACTAAGGAATCAACCGTTACCTCTTTAAAACACAGCACTTAAATTGGCTTTTAGAAATTCTGCGAACTCATATTTGCGTAATGGCGCCGGATACTTCAAATCCGATTCGGTTTTTGCACACATTTCTAAGTTAAATACTACCCAGTCCTAATTAGTCGGTCACTTAATCATAATATAAGCTAAAAGCTAGAATCCCGACAGCATAGTGAAAACTTAACCGGTTGAAAACTTCATAAGGAAAGTAATATGCCGTGTGACACCATTAAGACTCAAATATTTCAAGTGCAAGGTGCTTTTTTACCAGAAATTACACGCGGTAAGTTAGGAAATGTACTGGGGAACAAGACCTCACCGCCGAGTCAGATTGCAACATAAAATTCGCTAAGCACGTGCCTCGTCTTTTAGTTAGCATTCGTGCTATAATAAAAGCAAAGAATTTTCTAGGTATATTCGCATACTAATGCCGGCACGTTGGCAGCTTTCAAAGATCGCCGAAAGGGTTAGAATTCGGCGCTCAAGCAATTTCCCGAATGAATCTGAGAAGGCCTTATTTGGAGAAGTTACTCCAAAATCACACACTGATTTCGGACGAAACGGAACATCTAATGGCAAAAATGTGAAATGTTCGGATGCGGAAAAAAGCGTAGGGAACCTCAAAAGTACGTCATGCGGCATCCCAGAATTGTCGAAGCAAGCGTCTGGGCTTTCGGCGCGAGCACAATTAACCAATAATTGCATTCTACCGACTGTTTGCTGTCAGGTTGTGCGCAATACTCAGCTACTCCGCTGATGCTGAGGGAATTCGGCCCAGATAATAATAGTAACTTTAAACTGAACCTGCGAATTCTTGTCCTAAAGACTTTATTCCACACTCGCAAGTTAATTCCGGAATAAGCTTGGCTGCTTAAATCAAATTGCTTACATGTGCTCTAGAATTCTTCAATGTAGGCTCGGTTGCGGAATAAGCAGAGGATGGACATCATAATAGTTGGTTTGGATACGAATACCGCCATCAGTATAGCCGAAAATAGACTTAACTTGCACCAAATTTACGGCTCTAGAGGGAATTTTCTAGGGTGACAGATAGTTTTAAAAATATCGACAACAGAATAATAGTTGTGCTATTAATCTTTCTGGGGATTTTTCCCAGACTTAAATATACGAACAACAGTTTCGATTACGCCCTCTGTTGCCAAGGCCAACGGAAAATATACGCACCAAAAGAGATGCGTATTCATTTTTGGGCAGATGCGTCGTTGCCAAATACAGTCGACGCCCGGTTCGGAAAAACAAACCGCCTCGGGCCTTCTCGAGCTTAAAAGTGTTTCGCCCGATGAGTGTAAATACGCCCATAAGCTGACCAAAGTCTGGGTCAGCGTTTGCCTGGCGGGATATTGCTAAAGACCATGTGACAGAGGTTGCAGTCAGAAGATGGGGAACTAAAACGGCAAGATCCCATTCTTTAGCCGTACCTGTTAAGAGTTAGGGTTAGGGGGTTAAGGGTTAGAGATTAAGGGTTGGGGTAAGGGGTTAGGGGTCAGGGTTAGGGGTCAGGCTGGGGCTTGTCTACAACAGGTACGACTACAAAATGAGATCCGACCACTAAAACTACCTCTGACGAATTAGTGGCTTCCTATAGTCCCACCCCGTACTTACCTTCGCCATTCTGTAGTTTTGCAATGCATTTAGCACAGTAGTGGCTCTAGTAACCAGAGTTTAGAGAGTGGAGAAAAAATTTGCTGGAGTTTTAGGGAGACCCTCATTCAGAACATTACTCTCATAAAATGTTGGCCAAAAATTCTGAAATGCGTATCCGATTAAGAAGGATTACTTAGGTAGGGTTGTTATACTGATTACCATGCGACATTTACCTATAATATTTCAGACTCGCTAGAATTTTGGCTTTTAAATGCGCTTCTTTTCAACGTCCTGTAGAAGCCGCGCACGGTATGGCTACTTAAGTTGCATGCATTTTCCCCATTGGTGGTCGATGGTCTTATTAATTCAAATATATTTTATAGAAAACGTTAAAAAAGTAGACTTCCTTTTACTCGTTCGGTAGAAAATCACGTTGTCTCTGCATTTTATACCCGGAGAAATGTTATCTCTCGGGTTTTAAAAAGTTTCTAATCATAAAATTTTTTTAAGACCGTACAATGTCCATTCATACAACATCGTACCCGTTCATTTACTAATGCTCCTCATGAATTGTACAACGTAGTCCGCATCCATTGCAAAATTTCATGAGATCTACATAGTATGTTTTTAAAGGCAAAGAAGTATGTATGAATTTCCTTATGCGGAAAGTGTATACTTTGTAGACTAAGACCGCTAAATGATAGTGGAGCGGTTGATCTGGCTCACTATTATTCGGGAGTTGAGAAACCTTTAGTGGCTTCCTGTAGTCTGACCCCCCACTTACCTTCGTCATTCTGTGGTTTTGCAATGCATTCAGCACTGTAGTGGCTCTAGTAAACAGAGTTTTAAGATTGGTGAAAAACTTTGCTGGAGTTTTAAGGGGACCCTCATCCAGGACATTAGCCCTATCGGTAATATCTATGCCCCGTTGTTGTGGCAGACGCTGGATACAGGCAAAATCTGTACGCACGTGAACGAGAATAACAGTGATTTCCATCTTTCTCTCTCTCCCAAAATATCCGCAGTCATTTTAGGACACAGTTCTACTTGAGTCCAGTCTCGCAACTAGCATGAGAAACTATCAAGACCTATTATGTGGGGCGTTATAGCCTCCATCACTTTGTTGAGCGTCGCCGACAGGAGTGGGCTCACAGGAGGTAGTATACGAATCCTGTCTCGGTCCCGTTGTCACTGGTTAGCCGAACACTGACACCAGAACCCAGTTTGAGTTTGTTTACTGAAAGGCTAAGTTAGAGAGAGGTGAGAGATGTAAATATCCGTGGTCACGATGTTGAGAGGTGTTTCAGCAGTTCACATGGGAAAGATCAGATGCGAGACAGTCACTAATTTCGGTTACGTCTGAGGGGGCTTCGCAATCAGCATGGAGGAGGGTAAAAATTACATTTGGCAAAAAATGTCTCCTCTCACGCTATTCTGAAGTTAGTTGGTGGTTACTCTAAAAAGCGCATTGTACTGACAGTCATATATTTTAAATGACATGACCAAGGCTGTCATTTGCGAGGGGTATAACTTTGCTTGCCAAATACTGGGCCATTTTAACGCATTCCTATAATATTTCGGACTTGTTAGCATGTTGGCTTTTGAATGCACTTCTTTTGACTTTGTATAGAACCCTCGCTCAGTAAGAAATGGCTGCTTATGTAGCATGCATTTTCCCCATTGATTTTCGATGGTCTTATAAATTTAAATATATTTTATAGAAAAAGTTGCAAAAGTAGGCTTGCTTTTACTTGTTTGGTAGAAAATCGCGCTGTCTCTACACTTTATACCCGGAGAAAGGCTATCGTTCGTTTCTTAAAAAGTTTGAAATTATGAAATTTTTTAAGACCGCGCGATGTCCATTCAAACAGCATCGTACCTGTTAACTTACCAATGCTCCTCACGAAATGTACAATGAAGTCCACATCCATTGCAAAATTTTATGAACTCTCCCTAGCATGTCTTTAAAGGCATAGAGGAACGTATGATTTTCCATTCGCGGAAAGCATATAAGTCGGGTGTAAAATGTAAAGGCAACCGGATTTTATACCAAAGGAGTGAAAGAAAGCCTGCACTTGTGACGTTTTCTATACAATATTTTTGAATTCCCAATGAAAATCGATGTAAAAAATTCATGCTAATTAAGTAGTCATTTTTGCCGAGTGAGACTTGCACAGGAAGTTGAAAAGAAGTGCATTAAAAGCCAACATTCCCGCGAGTTCAAAATATTGTAGGATTATGCTGCATGATAGTCAATATTACAACCCCACCTAAGTAATCTCTCCTGATCGAAAACGCAATTCAGAATTTCGGCAAACATTTCAGGAGGTCGGAAAATTAAGAAATAAGGTAATGCGAGTTGCCGTTAAACAAACAGACAAACAGCAGATAAATGCAGTAAGAAATTCTTGAAGAAGGAGACACGATCGCCGGGACAAGAGCTTTATTAGCCTGACGTTTCGGATTCCTACTCGAATCCATCGTCAGAGACAAAAGAGCAGAAACGGGTGGTTGTTGCACAAAGGGCTGCGGTATTTATAGGATGCGGCAGCCATGCTACCGCATACCTATGAACTTTCACGGCTTCCCCCTTCATCCGGGATTGTCAAACTTGGTGTGATCATTGCTTGATGGCCGACATTCGAGTCGATAATTGCTGCAATTTCATCACGTGCGTTGGATGTTGGCGTGATGATTGCTCGACCATCTGACGCGTTGACCCGGGTGTTGGGAAGAGTGTTCACCAGTGCGCTCCCCGCGTGGCCAATTACTCCGCCTAGACGAAGTCTCAGCACGCTGTATTGAATGGGAAGATCGTTGCACTTGTTGATGGACTGGGAGCCAGTAAACCATGATTCTAGTAGCTCCCGGCTCACTCGGTTGTCACCTCTTGCGAGAATTTCGGCCTCATCGAATTTAAATGTGTGGCCGGATCTCGTCGAATGAGCCGCAACTTGAGAGCTGGCGTCATTTCTGCGCACCGCTGCCGCGTGTTCGGCCATTCTCGTTCGGAGCTGTCTTCCGGTTTCTCCGACGTAGTTGCTTTGTCCGCAACTGCACCAGATCCGATAAACGACTCCAGACGTTTCTAGCCGTGGCAGTGGGTCTTTTGGTTTCATGATCAGACGCCTGATGGTTGCCTCCGGTCTGTGTGCCACTCCAACCCCAAGTGGTGCGAGAAGGCGGCCGACAGCTTCCGAAACGTTCTTGACATACGGAAGTGCCCGCCAAGACTTGGTGTCCGTGCGGTTAGGCCTTTCGTCCCTTTTGCGTATGCACCGGTCGACGAAGTTGCGCGGGTAGCCATTGGCTATGAAGACCCATCGGAGGTATTGTAGTTCAGCAATTTTGTCTTCCGGCTCACTGCAGTGCGTTTCGACACGCCGAAAGAGCGTCCTTACACAACTGCGTTTGTGGCTGATTGGGTGGTTACTGTTGAAGTTCAGTACTTGCATCGTATTTGTCGCTTTCCTGAACACTTTGGTCTTTAGTCCACCACAATCCTTGCGGCATACGAGGACATCCAGGAAGGCCAGCTGGTGTCTGGCTCAGAGTCAGACACCACGGTCTCTTCGTCAGCACAATTCCTGGAGAAACTCAAAGGGGTAAGCATCCATTCAAATGGGGTCATGGTATCTTTTGATGTTACATCCCTTTTTACTTCTATTCCCCAGGACCTGGCGATCGAGACAATTGAACTGCTACTACAAAGCAAATACGATGAAACGGAGAACCGTCTTGGACACGCCCAAATCCTTCAGCTCCTGAAGCTCTGTCTCAGGACGTACTTCACGTTCGACGGGACAATCTACGAACAGGTGAAGGGCACACCAATGGGTTCGCCGATTTCGGGATTCATCGCCGAGGCGGTCCTGCAACGGTTAGAGTCGCTGGTCTTCCAACACCACAGACCGAAATTCTGGGCCCGGTATGTGGATGATACCTTCGTCGTCATCGAACGGGATCAGGTGTTGACATTCCAAGAACATCTCAACGCCGTCTTCCCGGACATTCAATTTACGATGGAGGAGGAAGAGAACAACCAGCTGGCCTTCCTGGATGTCCTCGTATGCCGCAAGGATTGTGGTGGACTAAAGACCAAAGTGTTCAGGAAAGCGACAAATACGATGCAAGTACTGAACTTCAACAGTAACCACCCAATCAGCCACAAACGCAGTTGTGTAAGGACGCTCTATCGGCGTGTCGAAACGCACTGCAGTGAGCCGGAAGACAAAATTGCTGAACTACAATACCTCCGACGGGTCTTCAAAGCCAATGGCTACCCGCGCAACTTCGTCGACCGGTGCATACGCAAAAGGGACGAAAGGCCTAACCGCACGGACACCAAGTCTTGGCGGGCACTTCCGTATGTCAAGAACGTTTCGGAAGCTGTCGGCCGCCTTCTCGCACCACTTGGGGTTGGAGTGGCACACAGACCGGAGGCAACCATCAGGCGTCTGATCATGAAACCGANCCGCATCCTATAAATACCGCAGCCCTTTGTGCAACAACCACCCGTTTCTGCTCTTTTGTCTCTGACGATGGATTCGAGTAGGAATCCGAAACGTCAGGCTAATAAAGCTCTTGTCCCGGCGATCGTGTCTCCTTCTTCAAGACTACTTCCTGGGACTCGGCTCTTCGCTTCTATTAGTAAGAAATTCGTTGGTATGTCGCAGGGGTGGACCTCCCCATGGTACCGATCTCAATCCCTCTCCCCGTTTGTTCTCGCGCGAACCAGTCCACTGTTCGAGCCTGTCAACCAGTTGGGTGATGCGATTGTGCGCAGTGTGGCTGACGTGGCGTGACGTCTAAGCCGTGACACTGCCCACGCATGAACAGCAGTAGTTGTGCGCTATCACGGACTCGGCGCAGCCTGATAAACGCGTGCCGAGAGCCGCATTTTTCTGCAGTTCTCGCCAGCAAAAAGTACTAGCCCGTTTGCCTTGTCGGCGGAATAGATTGCAAATCCCCATTCTAGCTTAAAAACGTTTCACATAAAAGCCACATAAGCAGTGTTTATTTTCAATCATGATTAAAAAATTGCTTATGCTCACTAAAGCAGTAAGTAATGAGGTGAATTATCCTAAGTACAAACACATGCAGAAATTTTCAGTTCGACTATTTAAACTTAGTTAGTGGCTATAAGATTGCTATACAAGTGGTTTTTATCAGTTTAACCCAGAAACAAACGAAATGGCCATATGCAAAACTACATAATTATAAAGCGTTGTATGAAGTGTCCACGACTCTTTTTAGCATTTATCCTACCAAACAGCACCATGCGGCTACCTGCGAGAGTGCCACATTGGGCATCAAGCTCAAAAGGTCTGCAAGCGTGTACTACGCCAGCATCAGCAAACCATGGCCTCAGCAGCTTGGTATGCACTGGCAGTTCCCTGACACTTGATTCCCCGCCGGTAGATGCGCTTGCGTTCCCCCTGGGTATACAGGCGGTGGGCATGGCTGCCCAGTCATCCTCGTCCTTCTGACCCCCTGTTGGGGTGTTGTTGCTGTTAGTGGTGAAGAATCCTGGCCAAGTGCATGTTGTGGGCCAGGAGGTGTGGTGGCACGCCTAGGTGCAAGTCCGGCCGTGCCAGCCACCTGCGCACTCCCCCGCCTCCGGTCTTTTTGATTCTGTCTTGAAACCGGGTCCAGGTGGCGAGTGGGGAGGAGAAAGTGCGGTAGATGCTGCGCAAGTCCACTGTCACTATAAGCAAAACGGGACGACCATGTCCCGGTAACGGTCGGTGTACGTACTTTCAGCATGATTTGTACACCCGACCCCCCCGGTATTCGCAGGGGTTAGAGACCACAGCTGCCCGTGAACAACTGGAATCCGCGAATATATGAAACCCCTCTAAAAACGCCTACAACTTCATATGCAAGACACAAAAGATGCCTTAAACCCTCATCCGAAAACATTTCAGTGTTAATTTAAATTCATCTTCTAATAATACCCTTAGAAAAACATTTCGCTCACAGGTACACGTGAAAATACCTACAAGCGTCACTTTTGCCGAGGCAAAAACTAATTAAGTTATCCCTATATTTAGGTATGCACACTTTTTCATACTGCATCGAAGCTTTACCGTTTTCCTGTGACGTATACAGTGTATAGGAGTAACACTGTACACTCAAAAGTACAGGAAACAGTTAAGTACTACGCTTAAATACTTAAATATGCGTTGAAGAAATAAATAAATGAAATAATGAGAAGTTTACGACTACGTAAATTGCACGGCTACTCGTTAGTAATAAAAGTGAATGTTGATAATGATTCAGCTGTGCGGTCCAGTACACGATGACATAAATATGCCTGTGTAACAAAGTAGAAGAGTTAAATCACCCTTGGGGGGCACTTCTATTCCTTCATCAGGCGTTTCATCCATCAAATGCAATTCTTCAGGGGCTTCTTTCAGGTCCCATCTTCATGGAGTGGGGAAGCACGGTGAATTACTAAATCTGTTTTTTTCAACATACAATGTATTAAGTCACAAAAGCAAGTGGAAATGATCAGTGAATATTTCATATATGCTCTACGAAAAAAGAAGTCTGCGAACAACTGTCTCCGTGAACTATCGGACCGCGAAAATGCGGGGTTCCACTGCATACCATAAATTAATTAACACCAAATGTTTTTGAATTTAATGCGTGGCGGGTCGAGGGCAAAACGCATCATGCAAAAGTGCGTCGAGATGGCGGTGACGCATCCAGCAGCGGCAGGCATCGTAACTGACACGTGATTATGAGTTAGTCGATTGGAGTAAGGTCTATACATTCGCAACTTATTTAAGACCAATTTTCACAGGCCTATTTAAAAACTGATGACTGGGTATTTGCGGGCCAGAAACCTCTACAAGAACTGCCTGATACGCGTGGCATTAAAGTCAATTGTGCTTCCATCTTACGAAGCTTAAGTCACTTGTCCTGCAACAGAAGTTCGATAATCCTGGAGGACAGAAACCTAGGCTGAAAAGCGAACATGTGGGCTGGGTCGATCTTCTGGAAAGTTAAGTGTAAGCATAATATTTTTTCAAGATTTTGCACTGTGAGGTTTTGAAGTCAGTTAAAACACGTATTCAAACACTATATTCGCCTCTCTGTGGAAAGGATTCGCAATACCAAATAGAAGGGTTAATGTATGACAAAGATTCTCAAGAACCACTATATTGTGAAAGGCACTGTATACGGCTTGGAAGACTGACAGCTGATGGCGTAACTCGAGCCGAGTGGTCAGTGCTGCGGGTAGATGTAGTGACTGGTCCGCGAACTGGGTTTCAGATCCAATAACTACATCTGAACATGGCTTCCTTGGCACCCCTAAGCACGCGGGATCCGGACAGTTCCCTTTTTTCTATGAATATCTGGCACACGTCTGGGGATCATGTCATGAGTGCCACGCATAGAGTGGCCCTTTAGCTGTGTCATTTATTGAGGTAAAGTTCACCCCTGATTGTTCCGACTCTCTCTTGCCACCGGGTTAAGATGGTTGAGAGAAGAAAGGACGCGGCAGATGATGCGCAAGTCTGCTATCACTGAAACGCACTTCACGTCCAAATCATAAGCCTGCGCCCTCCTCGTTGTGGAGCAGACAATGAACATCGTCGCGTTCGGTGATTAGCTGGGCTAGTTAACAATAGACTGACGGATTTTATTTATATCACCAAAAAGTGTTAGCACAAAAACTTAGGGGTGCTGGAATGACCCTTTCCGGTGTACAGAACGCCAGTAACCATTAATAACACCAAGCCCATGTGCTGACACACATGAGAAGACCAGCGAAAGAGGTAAAAGCACCGAAAGACAAAAATAGTGCAGGAGAGCCTTGCACATGTACCTCGGAGAATGCTCGGATTAACGTCTTAGAGTGTAGTATTTGCGTCCCAATTACTAAATCAGACGTTGGCTCATAATTAAACAACATCGCTGACACTAGCAATTTGACAATTTAAAACGCCCAACATATCCTCTCAACCCCGAGAAAGTAAACAGGGAGCGCCAGATGTAAATCGCGACACATGTTCACGTTTTGGCCTTAAAAGAATTTCGCTAACCTACAGCTTTGCTTAAAAACTGAAATAAAATAACGCAAAAAATGGGAGCAGAATAACAATATTTTCTGGCGCGATTACGCCTACGCGTCTGGGGACCCTGTAGAAGAAGGATCTAAAAGAACGTTTGTTACTTAGTAACAAGATTCATGAGAACCAATGAGCGAAAAGCCTTTGATGACCGATACTGTTGGAGAACTTTACATTGACATCCAAAGCCCATATTTCTAGTAGGCGAACAGACTCAAAGAACATTCGCGCATGTGTAAGATAAAGATGCGTCATGTTACTTGGTAGACAGCTATCTACCTCTTTCACTCTCTGTTTCGCCTCCAGCAAAATGCGTAGGCAAAATATGCAAGAATGCTAGTAATTAATACTTTTTGCACAAAAGGAGGCAACGATAGGGTGTAGGAACCAACTAACTTGAGCTAGCCTGTGGATCGTGTAGTGCATTCAACGTTAGTGGAGGGGGTCTTACGGGTGGAGCGACACACAGGATGGAGAGCAGAAAGGCACGGAAAATAAATAAATTTCTGCTGAAAGTCTTATCGTACGCCGTCATTTCGTGAAAAAGTAAGCGCGATAATTTAGAAAATAGACAAAAAAGTAATTTTCAAAAAATGACGGTCTTTGAATAAACCGCCACTGGTAGGTTTGCATTTAGACGAAGAGGCAGGGAAATTTCAAACAATGGGAACGGTGAATAATATGAAATGTTTGCAGTCACACTGAGCTGTAGTGCATATTATGGAGTTGCCAGCCATGTGGGGTTATGCACTCTACTGTTACTCAAAAGGAGATCAATTTCACTCGTATGTTGGTCATCTGTAGAATGAGTCCCGCGACTAGATAATTGGCGTCGGATTCAGTTCACTAGAGTTTTGGGGCGTGAAATTCGCACTGTCAGTTCGTCTATGATAACACAAATCAACTGACATCCTACCGGATTCCTCATCTCTATATATCAGCGGTTAATTGAACAGTCTGAAAAAAGGGCGGTTCCTCGTCTCTCTGAATACTGATTAGTTATTTGTGACCGTATGCGAGTTATGGAGTAAATCTTAAAGGCACGTGAAATACAGGTTTCAGAAAAATGTTTACGTTCGCTTGTCAGTAGAGTTTAGTTAGAGACATTTTTGAATAGCTGAACAATTGATTAACGATTATTGTTTGGTGGTTCCGCTGATTAGCAATTTGGCCGTGGCGGGCGACGAAGGCCGTCGATGTCAAATAGGACGCCACCTTGACGCACCGTCTACCTCTCTCTTTGTGCACGCAAAACAGACTACGCGGTAAATGCGATGAACCAACACAGGGGCGAGACCATGGTCCGACAGTCGTTGTTAGAAATTTGCACCTATAACAAATGTCAGAACGCCGAGGTGCAGACACAATCCGAACTATTTTGGATCCGAGTTGCTACTCTTTTTCCT